GCTCTTCCAGCAATCAGCAGTTTTAAAACATCCTGTACTAGAAGTTGCATCTGCATGTTTAATAGCCCTGATGGACTAATTCAGATGGTTGAAAAAGAAGTTAAACAAATTTATATGTTTAGTCTTCAAAGCATCTGGTGACACGGAGTGCCTCAATTTATGCGCTATCCATGCGAAAAACATATTTCCTACAGCTTGTCTCAGGCAGTTTGCCTGGCATTTTAACCACTGCTCCCTCCCTTCTTATCCCCCATTAGCTCTTGTATTGTGAGAAATAACAAGTGTTCGCTATGACCTGTGGCGTGTTTCTTTGCTAGTACCGCACGTATACCATTCCTGTAGTCCTAGAGTAAGATTTACCTTTTCTGGCACATTTTGACAACTGACTTGTTTAGGTTGTGATTTAGTCTGCCCTGACCTTTTTCTGCAGTGCCTTGCCTAGTCAGTCCGTCCCCTTTCTGTCTAGGTGCATTTGTTTTTCCTCTGTGTAGCCCTTCATGCTCTTCACTGAATTGCACCTTCCAGAATTCAGACAGAGTTATCCTACAGGTGGAGACCATCAGGAAGCAGCACTGTGCCTCTTCCTGGAGGGCACAAGCCTATGCCCCAGGACCCAAGCTCTCCGTCTTACAGGATGTGTTTAACCAACGTTTTTGCTTTGGAGTTCTCTCTTCCTAAGCTGTCTGTGTTTGCTGGAACAGAACGAGGGGGCTTTCTCCACGAAGAAGCTGCCTAAACTGAATCACTTCATCTGTGTCAGGGAATAAGAGCATGTGCCTGGACAGTTGCTGCAGATTAGCTGAGACAGTGATTTGATTATGTACCTCAACTTGGACAATTCAGGGTTATATTAGCTCTACCAGCCTAGACGTTAAGAACCTCTTTTGTCCACTTTGATTACTGTTTCTGCAAGAGAAAGTGATGATTAAATGCTGACCAAATTAATCTGCTGATACTTGCATCATATTTAGTATTTCACCTTAACAGTTCTATCTAGCCACACAAATAGTGTGATCACATAAGGATTGAAACTTTCACCTTGAAAAGGCTAGGCCTGAGAAGAAGTGCTGGGAGATGTGACCCCTAAAGGCAAATAAAAAAAAAAGCTTCTCGTTTTCATTAAAAATTGTTGTTTTCTTGAAAAATTAGCGAGGAGCTAATGTTGAAATTTGATGCGAGTAAATTGTGTTCACATTGCTGAAATCCCTTCTTTGGATGTGCTCGCAGAGAGCCTGCTACCTAGGAGGCTGATCTGCTTGGTTTCCAGTGGTTGCCTGTGAGATCTGGATGCTTTGATTAACCTCTTGCCTTCTGGTACCACCTTTGGGCTCTGTCACATCCTGCTGCACTGAGCCACCAGAGGGAGATGGAGGGTAAATTTCTTAGCAGTCCTTGTTTTGATTTTTTTTTCAACTTCTCTGCAATCTTTCCAGAATGCTGCTGTACACTGAGGACAGTCCCTGTGTTCTGCCCCGGGGTGGCTGCAGCTGAACAGAAGGTGACAAGTTGATGATGCAGGTATGCACATCATGTAAAGTTGTAAAAGGTGGAATTAGAGCTACAAACTATCTACAACACAGTTCATTGTGGTCTTTCACCTTCCTTCCTAGTGTGGCCTGATTTAATGGCATTTATTGTGACTAAATAACCTTTGGCACTTCCCAGGAGCAAGCTCTTGCAGCTGAACAAAGTTGCATACGAGTTGTTCAGAGAACCGAAACGGCCCTTTCCTTCCTGGGAATGATGGCACTTTCTTATTCCTTTCATGTGTTTTCTTGTTCATCCTTATTTGTAAGCACGGCCTTCAACCCACTGCTGCACTGAAATGCGTTTAATGTGTCTCTTTGAAAAACTTTTTATCTGGACTGAAGTGACCTGCAGTTTAATCACTGCGAGCTGCTCTGGAGGATTGAAGTGGTAACATTCTGTGCAGGATAAGCCCTACTTTGTAGACTGTGGTTGGAAGGATATGGTAAATATATTTTATGGGTTTTTACAAGGTTTTAGGAAAGAGGTGGTTCACTGTAATTTATGAGGGTAATAAAAAAACCAAGAGGTCTGCTATGATTACAGTTTGGAGTGACCAAACCATTGTCATTTATGGAAATCTTGACTATTCCTTGACCCATTCCAAAGCTTTTTTCCTGCAGAGAAGTGTCCCATGTGCTTTTTACCCCAAAATACAGCAGCAGCTGCTCCTGCATTCTGCAACCCCACAAATCTACTGAAATAGGAGGTGAGATGCGGCAGTTTCCTGCACAAATTAACCACAGCCATTTCAGCTGCTGAAGTAATTGCCTCTGGGGAGGGACAGCGTGTAATTTGAGAAAGGATTTGCCTTCCCGACTGTGGGTAGTAGAAACCTGCTTGGCACACGTGCCCAAAGCCGGGAACTCAGGAGGGCTAGTGGATATGGCTGCACCTCTGCACTTTCTAACCTCCACGTATCCGCATCGTTCTTACCCGGGCGGGCTCGCTGGTCATTTCTTTCGCCTCAGCCATGTTACTGGAGGGGGTTGTTGTACTACTTCTTCAGCCTGAGTGGTTTACAGTCCTGCATCATCCTGTTTCAGTAACTTTATGAGTTTGGCTCAGTTTAAAAAGAAAAACAAAAAAACACTGTTATAATGATATCTCTATAAATAGCGTGAAAAGTTTTTGCTCCTCTGCCTCTTACTACTTATCCCATGTATCTGACCTTAGGGAAGTTACCAGGGATTGCTGTGAGAGCACAGCTGGGTGCTGGAGATAATGTGAGCAAGGGGATGTAAAAACCATACAGTGGCCCTACCTCTATATTAAAGGGTAATATGGTTGCATGTAGTACAGGAAATAATATGCCAAAATGTTGACTGCTGTATCCTATGTAGATTTTACTGGTTGCCAACTGGTGACCAGAAACTAGGTCTGACTCAGTTGTTCCCTAAGGCCACCCACCTGGTGGCTCAGAGGCACTGGAGTAGGCAGATTGCTTGTGGCCACAGCAAATGCTGTAGCTGTAACGCAGCTGAGCAGGAGACAGCATCTCCCTACCAATGCGGAATGGACTCTCTTGATCCCATCTTCCTGGTAAATTCATATTAGGTGGGAAATGTGGCTCCAAGTGCTGCAGGACTAAAAATTTATATATAAATATTTATACTCCTCCTCCTATGAGAAGAGTGCAAGTATCAGGGCTTGATGCTAATTTGTGAAACTCTGGGGAGGGTGGGTAGGAAGAAGTATTCCCAAACCATCCCTCCTAGCAACTTCTGCTGACAGAAACACCAACCTGCTGCAGCAAAGTGGCAGAGAGGCCCGGTGGGAGGCAAACTTTGAGTTACTTGCACAAGGTGTTTGGATGAGCTTCCATGCTCAAAATACAGCTGCAGGTGCTCTAGTGAGTCCTGTGAAAGCTGATGTTGGCTCTCTAGGTGCTCTAGGAACCCCGTGAGAACACCCTTTCTGGGATATGAGTGACTCACTCATGGTCAGGCATAGGGAGGGTGCAGCGAGGCAGGATTGCTCCATACACAATCTGTCATGTGCTTTCTCAGTTAACCGCTGCAAACCACAGAATTCCCTATCGGCTTCTGTTTGCAGGAAGAATGAGGCTACGTGAACCTTTAGTCTGACCTAGTCCAGCTGTCCTTATGATAGAATTGGAAAGGTGGAGTGACTTAAACAATGAGTCCTTAAGGAGGAAAAAGGGTTAGCTGAAACCTCTGAGGAGTTTGGTGATAGACCAAAGGAGAAAAATACTCTTAAGATACTGAACTGATTCTGAGAGCAGACTTTAGAAGATGGGATCCTTGCACTCTTCCAAGCTAGTATAGTCACGTAACAGTGAGCCCTTTGCCTCTAAGCCACTTGTTTCTGTGCTTGAATGCCCATCATCTATGAAGGTGACAGTAGAAATAGCATTTCCTTGTGAAAACTGATGTTTGCGTGACAGTCGTGAATTTTAAGGTAAGGGGGGGGAAGTGCTAGTGCTTCATAGCCTTCTCAGATTTGCAGGTTAGATGCACAGAGCAGCTGAATTTTGTACCATCTTGCTCATCTCTGTGGAGCGAGAAGAGAAATCCTGGAGGCATATATTTCCACTTTTGCACCCATCTACTTTGGCAAGGTGCTTGCTGAAGCATGCTGTCTATGCAGCAACACTGCTGGGCTGAACAGGAGAGCCAGGTAGGGGTTAAAATGCAGGGAAACTTGTTCTTTGGCTGTCAGGCTGACAGAAGACTTGTTTTTCTAAGCCACAAGAATTCTGGTGTTATGGGAATTAGTACCTGGAGATAGTCTTAATGTGTACTGGCTATCCAAGCAGTAGTGTCTTCAGTAAAGGTCTTAAGGGAGAAGAGCCTGCTCTTTGGCCTTCCTTTGCTTGGCTTTGCTCTCAGACTCTCCCTCAATTGTTTGCGTAATGCTAGAACAAACTTTGATAACTTAAATTGCTGGCAACTGGAAAATTGGTCAGGAAAGAATTACAGTGCCAGTGCTTTTCCATGACTGGTGATCACTGCTTCTCCTTAACTCAGGCTGTTGGTAGCTCAGGTTGCTTTTGTTCTTGCAACAAAGCTTGCTGGGTAGCAGGCGAATTGAGCAGTAGAAAGGCAGACAGAAAGACCCGATTAGCTCTGAAAGTCACCACATGGCAACAGGATGCATTGAAATGTGCTGCTGATGCCTGAACTCATTCTGTATGTCCTGGCTATGTCAATGGCTTGCATATGGGTGGTTTTTCTCTTGTGTGTAGCAGTGATGACAGAAGACAACTCTCTGAGGCTCTCAGAGAGGTTCAGATGAATGCATGTTATCCTTGGGCTTCTCAGAGTTCAATCCACGTAAATCTGTTTAATTGCTTTTGTGCCAGCCCAGGCCAGTTCAAGACTTGACTTTTGCAGCCAGGCTAAGAGGTAAAATTTTCACCAGTCTTCTGCTCACAGTAGTTACCCAGCACTTTCCTTTATGTTGAAACCTAAACTGAATCATGGACTGAATCTTCTTGAGTTTGCAGACTTGGACCTGAAATATCATCAACCCAGGCTTTCTCACTGAATGTTGCCATAATAGTTTCTGGGCAAAACCGACAGAAAACATGATGCCAAGTAAAACAAGAGTGAGAGAGGAGAGCTGTTCACTGCCTGCCTGTTTTAGCCAGGGTTCCACCTGGTGAAAAGTTCTAGCACCGTTCAGACAGATTCCTGTTCCATCACGGTGCTTTTTTCCTATCTCTACTTCAGACCATCCTCTGTGGTGTTTTTTAGCGAAGGAAGAATGTGCTGCTGCACTCCACAGAAGCTACTTATAGCAATGTTCATGGTGCTGGAGGGCTGTCAGCTTTGAGCTGTGGGGCAGGGGGGAAGCAGGGACTTGAGATAAGAATAGTACGTGAAATCTCAAATTTGACAGGCCCGTCAGGGCGGAAATTACAGCTTGGAGGAGGAAAAGCGGTTGTGTGTTGAATTTTCTGTAGTAAATATAAAGTCTGGGGGTTTTGGTGGTGAGGAGGCAGTTCCACCAGGAATGTGTAAAGCTTTCTTTGGGACATGCCTGACACAGCTGTTTCCCATTATAAGCGAGCAAGCGAAGGACTTGGTGACAAGGAGCCCTTGTATACTACGGTAGAGCTGGTGTAAAAGGCACAGGAAGGCAGGCAGTGCTGAGAGGGGAGGGAGGCTGGAGGACACTGCAAAGCACTTAAACAGCCCCGGTGGTACTTGAATGAGTTTGTGGGGTTCCCCTTTCCTCCCGATCTCCACCAAAAAACAAAAAATTGCTGCCTTCACCTGGCAATAACTGCAGCGCAACTCCCAGCTATGCCAGCGGCTGGACTCTTGTCTCTTTATGGTCTGTGTTCAAGAACATTGCTTGCTTTTTAAATTTTATTTTAAAGTCTGCTCTCAGACCAGCTTGAGCTTGTACTGTGGCAGAAGTGCTATTATTCGTGGCTGTTATGCTGAGTTTCTGCAAAGACTTCTGCTGCGGGGAGTGGAGGGCAGAAGGGAAGATGAGCAATGTGCGGAAGAGAGCTGTCGTCCCAATTTAGAAACGTGCCTGCATGCATGTCCACAGCATGAACTGCTGCTCGCAGGAGGCAGGAAGGTGAGATAACATGCCCAGGGCCTGCTCAGTTGGTCAATGTAATGGTATCTCAGCTCCTCCTGTTGGTCTGAGCTTTCCCTCTGGCTAAGCGGTCCTAGCAGTCTCCCTGGTGCTCCATGTATAACCTTTGCCTTTGGAGCAAGGTTACTTGGAGCAAGCAACATACTTATTCTGTATGTTCAGGCTGCAAGGTGTGTCTATGTAAACTAAATGCAATCTGGAATGAAAGCAAAACAGAGGTTCACCCTCATCCCCTCTTCCCAACCAGGCTACCGAGAGGGTTTGGTGCCATGTTGGTGAGAAGGCCACCAGCACAGTGCTTGGCCAAGAGAGGATGTGGGACGCTAGAAATGACAGTGCTGCAGTCAAAGGTTGTTGTGGGCAGTGTCTTTGAGTCAAACTCTGTCTATTGTCACTGCACTAGAACAAACTTGTCCGGGGGGGCTAACACTGAGACTCTTCTTGCAAGCTCACCATGCAGAAGGCTCCCACCAGGGGGATAGGAGCTCTGTTTGCTTCACTTCAGTTGAGTCTGTGATCATATCGGCTTCTGTGAGCCATACTCACCTCAGCAGGTTTGGGCTGGCTGAGATCATGGCAGGACCTTCCCAAGGTCCCTTGAACAAGTGGACATGTTCAAATAGTGCGAGTGGTAGTGAAGTGGGACCAGGTAGTCTAATGCTGCAAGTCTAGTAACTGAGCCTACTTGTCCTGTGCAGACTCTCTGATGCCTAATAGGAGTTCAGATCGCGCCTTTTTCATGGGAATACTAGTAGGGTTTCTCTCCTCAACCAGCCCATCTGTTTCCATGAAGCTTGTATGAACTTGGCATCTTTGAGCCCTCTTCTCTTCTGTCCAAACTGATAAACAGGTTTAAAAGATTTCAGGAGGAAGGGGAAGAAGACAGCTAGTTGACAGGCAATGTAGAGCATGGTCATGTAAGCTGAAACTTCTGTTTCTGACTAGTTGCAGCCATTTAAAAGGGCCGTGACCCACTTTGCTCTGGGAATGTTAGGTATCAGGATATTCCACTTTACCCTTCCTAATTGTCCTTCTATTTTAAGAGGGGGGGCTGGATGATTTTTGCTTGTCCTCTAAGACTCTTGCTTAGTGCCGGTGATGTACCGCAGTAGCAGAAATACCAATTTACTGATGAGCTCTGTCTTTCTATTCAAAGCTGTTTGTTCCCAGCTTTCCAGGGTGGGCTGTGCCCACAATTTGTAAACTCCTCCAGAGACCTTTTGGAAGCTTTCTTACAGCTGCAGAGCAAATAAAGGAGAGTTCCCAGTGGGGATGGCAAGGAAATAAGAATATAAGAGCCAAAAGCTGGACTGCTCCCTGCAGGGACATTGGCATGATAATGGGGAGCAGGGTAGTGGATGACTAACTGAGGGCAGTGCCAGAAAGCCAGCCTGATGGCCACCGCTCCTACCAGGGGTCTAGCATTGGCTTCTTGAGGTGACATCATGGCGCCAAGAGCCTGGGCCAGAGGCAGTCAAGGAGCCAAAGTAAATATTTAAGCAATGGCTGGTGAGCACTGACTGCCTCTCTAATGTCACGGGTTTCTCGGAAAATCAAGTGTGAAGAACTTGAGCTTTTTCATTTCTGCCATAACAACCAAGTCAACTGCTCAAATATCTCCCCCTTCCCTCCTTCTTTTCCCCTGCGCCTCCTCTCCCAACTTTTTTTGTAGGGTCCCAAAGCACCATTATCAATCTCTGGCAAGGTTTAAAAATAAAGGGGAGAAATGGGAACAAAGTTTCCACCCCTTGCACCCAGCTGGTATGGGCTGGAGCAGGGGGGTTGGGCTTTGTCCTCACTCCTGGTGAAGGCAGTCCAGAGGAGGTGCTGGTTATGATGCCAAAGGAGGGGGCGGTGATAAGGCACTGCTGAATTTCAGGAGGAGAGTTTGAGAGCCTGGTTGTCATTAGTCTGGGTCTTTACTCCCTTTTGACCCTCAAAACAGGTTATAATATTTAAGGACTGTAGCAGAGCTGGCTTCCACTTACCAGTCAGCTGAAATTGCATGGGATGTGGCTTCTCTGTTTTTCTTCTCCCGTTCTCCAGAGACCAGATTTTCATATTCCAAATACAGCCGCTTTGGAGAGGAGGCACAGGCAGGTTTTCCTGCAGGCACTTTCTCTGAGCAACTTTTAAGCGCTCCCCCTTTGACCAAGCAGCAGTACGCTGTGAGCACATTCCACGCTTCTTGCCAAAATTAATGGCTGTGGATTTAGCTGTTGCTGGCTTTCTTTTAATTGCAAATTATTCACAGAGACTAAGACGTACCTCTTAGTTTAAGAAAGAGGAGTTATACTAAGTAGACTCATGACCGTATTTCAGCCTGTTTTCAGAGGCTTGGACCTGAACATTTGGCTTCTCTCAAAGCTAAGCTGCTTAATAACCTGTTACAGCCTATGCCTACTAATGCTCTCAGACACAGAGCTCTTGCCCCTTTATAGATTGTTTTTCGCCCTGGCGTGCCTTCTTGAGGTTGATCTTTCAGACTTGGCAGATAAAGCACAAATTTTTTGTTTGCAAGTAGCAACTTTAGGCTTTCCGTTTTGGCTTTTTATTGCCCAGTTGCTAAGAATCCTTTATTCCTGTTGTGCTTTGCCTTTGATTTCCGTTTGGTTTTTGGTGGTTCCTAAGTTTATCGTGTCGTCTTATGATAATAACAGATGACAGCATGGCTTCTTTCATGTCATAGACTGTGCAGAACAAAACAGTACTGCCCACTGTTGAATGGGACCCGTTCATAGGAGCTGGTAGCTGGGCAGTACATCATAAAAGCCCTTTACCGTTTAAGAGATGATAGAGGCAGACGGTGATTTAAATGCGGGGCTGCTTTTGCCTCCCTTTACTGATGAACTGATGTGACTAACGTGTAGCTGTGACGTAGCATTCTTCATCGGTGGACTTCAAAGAGGTTCAGAGGAAAGTAAGATATGTCCCCCTTTTACAGATGGGAAGACCAAAGCACATAGAAGGGCAAGTTATTCAGCAGATCAGCTGCTGCACTGAGGATATGACCCAAGCCTCTAGCGTCTCAGACTGCGCCCTATTCACTAGGTGATGTTGCCTCTATTTTCACTCCATCACTGTCCTCGTCTGCCTGCTGGTGTCAGGGCTCCTGTTACACGAGCGTTTTGTGGGCTAGCAGAGCTTCCCTGGCATTTCTCAAAACAGCCCTCCCACAAGTCTTCCTGGGAGGTCTTGCTATTTTAAGCATTAGCCAAAGTCTGTGCTCAAGCCCAAACTTGCCTTCTGTCCAAGCTGGATACAAATCCACAGTTAAACACATGCATGATTCCTGGACAATATCGTAGCTCATCCTGCTGAGGCTGCTCTTCTGGTTGGATAGAGGTGGACGAAGGGATGGAAGAGTTTAACCTATAGATAATGCACAGTGTCTGGAGCCCGGAGCCCCGAGACCGCAGGGGCAAGCATGTGCCAAGGACTTGTGGACTTGTGTCACGTCGCAAACGCCTAGACCAATGCCAGCCCTTTGGAGCGTGGTAGAGCCCTTCCTAATGCTGTGGCTTGTCCCTCCCCTCTGTGGAGAGGATTTGAGCAAAAGGGTGATACAAATGCTGGGAAGCAGTGCTTATTGCTTCCATGGCAGCTAACATTGACACCTGGTGATTTTCTCAGGTTTTGTGCAGCAACGGAGGAGAAAAAATAATGGAAAGGATTGCAGTGGGATTGCAAAGCTGTAGCTGTGACAACAGATCAGGGTGACATGCTAATAGAAGCAGAAATCTTTGTGAAGGGGAAAGAGGGGCTGAGAGCTGCTCGTATGGGAGCACGATGAATCAGTCAAAAGCTTGCACAAAAGGGCCCAAGAGTGCTTGCAGGGGGGGTACAAGATTACTTGCAGGAGAAGGAGGGATGATGCAGGGGAGGTCTGTGGGGCGTGGGGAATCCTAGAGCAGGTGCTGTAAGGAGTCCTGCGCCAGTCGTGTGAGAGGTGTCTCAAGGGCCTGAGCAAGGGAAAAGCAGCACCAGGTCACTCGTGGCAAGTCCGAGGCCTCCCAGGAAGGGAGGCTCCTGGGTCAGTGGTTGGTACCTGTGGGGGGTTATTCTGGAGCACATGCACAGAAGAAGAATGATTTGGGCTCCCAGAGCAGAGGAAAGAGGTGATGGAAAGGTCAGTTTGGGGAGTCTTGTTTTTTCTCACCCCTCCTCTTCCACCCTGCATCTCTTCTGCCCTCTGAAACGGCAGAGAAAACTCCTGAAATTACTGACGACAACTCTTGTTTTCCTCGCAGGGTATTTTAAGAGCTCATGTTTGGAATTGGTTTTGCCTCCTTTAGAAACATATCTTTATTGATGATTGATATTACTAAGGTCCAGTCTCTTTTTTCTTCTTCTTTTTTCCTTTCTGCTGGTGAATATTAGACTGTTTTCAGCCTCGGCAAGAGAGAAAAGCTTACCTGATCTTTTAAAACCTCTGGTGGGAGTGATTCCTCAATCTCCTTTAGCATCTATTCCAGCAGTCCTCATCATTACAATGTTTTTCCTTGTGTCTAACCTGGACGCCCCTTGCTTCTCATTCTGCTTACCAAAGCATGGCAGATAGATTATTCCCTTTCTCTTTATAGAAGCTGAAGACTCTTCTCATGTCTCTTCTTGGTCCCCTCTCTTTTGTTAGACCAGCCAATCCTGACTGCATTCACTCTTTCATCGTAGGTCAGGTTTTACTGGCCCTCTGTGCATTTTTGTTACTGCTTCTGGAAAATCACGTGGGCCGTGTTACTCTGATGTACATTACCCAAAACTTGACGAGAGACTCCAATGAAGGCTTGTACCAGTTTTGCACAAAGAACAACAACTTCAGTGCATAGCAGGCAATGCTTCTATTTACTCCTCTTGGCGTGATGTCTGGCACTTTTTTTTAATAATAAATTGATAGCATTGCTTCATGTCCTGTTTGTAAGCCCCTAAACCCCTGATCCTTTTCTGTGGAGCTGTAACCAAACCTGTTGTCTACTATCCTGTGTTCATATAATCCAATATTCCTGCCTAACTGCAGAACTTTGCACTTTATTGTATTGAACTACATCCTCTGTTTCTGAAGGCCAGTGCCCCGGTTTAGGATCTCTTCTCATTCCTATCCTGCAATGTGCAGGCAGCTCCTGACAGCTTGTTGTCTTCAGTAAGCACATCATGAATATTCCCTAGTTTGTCTTCCAAGTTTGTGATGAAAACATTGAAGTACCAGGTCTCTGAGGAACCTCGCTTAATCTGTCCTTCCATTTTGACATCGACATCTTGATGATTACTTTCTGAACATGCTTTTCCAACACGTACTGCAGCTACCTTGTAATATTTTCATTCAGCTCCTGTTTTGCTAGATTGCTTTTGAGAAGGTCACAGGGAAATGGTGTCAAAGCCCTTAGCAGAGTCGAAGTGTGGGTTCCCTCATGTTTGTCTGTCTGCAAGGTCTGTTTCCAAAAGAAATTTAAACCTGTTTCAAGTGATTTGTTCTCAGCAGATGTGTGTTGGATGTTACTTATCTCCTGATTACTGGATAGGTACTTCCAAGTGGTTGGTTTGTTTTTTCTTGGAACTGAAGTTAAACTAAGCAAGCCATAATCTTGACTCCTCCCTTTCCCCTTTTTCAAAGACACTGTCTTTCTGTTTTTTTTTTTGTCTTCTGGAAATATTCTGCTCCTCCACAAGCTGTCAGAGATCACAGCTGATGGTTCTGATGGTTCTCCTAAACTTCCTAGGAAGACTAAAAACTATGTAGTTTATCTATTCTGTTCGTTCTGAATTCTAGCCTAAGGTTTTTTTCCTTTCTTGCTGATGTTGTTTGTGTTGGCTGCTTGATTCATAGTGATTTTTTTTTTGTTTTAAATAGACACTGAAGCAAAAAATTAAACACTACCCTTTTTGTTACATCTATCAAGAGCTTTCCCTCCCTCTTAATTAGATCAATTCTTCACTTATTTTCCTTTTACTATGAATGCACCTATGGAAGCTCATTTTTCTTCTCCTTGCTACTTATTTCACTTTCTACCATGGCCTCTGATTTTTATCTCTATACATCTGTACTATAGTTTATAAACCTCATTTGCAATTTTATCTCTTTCCACAATCTGTATGCTTCCTCTCTGTGGTGAAGGTCTTTGAAGAACTCATGATTTAGCCAAATTTATCTTTCTCCCTGTCATTTCTGTTAGGACAGTTAGTGTCTTTGGGTATACTTTGTTTAAGGACTGGTGTCACTTTTGAACTTTTACCCCTTTAGCTTCTTTCCCATGGGATCTTTCCCATCATTTCTCTGAATTTTGTTCATTTAATTCTGTTTTTCACAGCAGTTCATTAAGCTATTCTCACTCTTT